TGGTTCTGATAATCTGTTTGCATTGGATTTTAGTGCAAGAGATCGATCGATCTTCTTGGATCAGTCCATGCTGGGTCCGACCCTTTGGCCTACATGTTTGTTACGTTGTGTGACAAATTGATTGCTCACCGACGGCCATTTTCCCGGTCATGGTGCTCCATTTCATACATCAATAATGGTGGCTTTCAGTCTCGGAAGAATGGTGGAAAACTAGAAGTACGAAGAACCACAAACCATTACAATCACTTCCCAATTCTGATTGATTGATGGGACGTTACTGACCTTAATCTTGTCGTGATTGGTGGTGAGATAGTGAGAGATATCATCTCATTTTCTAATCAGAGTTACATGCAATGAAAAAAGGGGAGCCCCATGTGAAACTGGAGCTATCATTTTGACTTTAGATTGGAATCTGCTTTAATGACGATGCCCCACTTTGTGTTGTCATGTGCCCCACCAGGCACCGATCCAAAGGTGAGAAATTGTCCATCACGTGTGGGCCCTTCTTTATTATTAAATTACAACCTGGTCCACCCATTGTTGTGACTTGTGAGCAGCATTTTGTTTCTTTCAATCGTTGGCCTGCACTCAATCTCAGAAATATGAAATTACAGCTAGTCTATTTAGTATATAAACCGCATTCTTCATGTGAATTTAGCATCGATTCACGGTCAAGATTTATTCACTTATACGATAAAGCTAAGATTTCTGGGGTGAACTGAGCATTAAACCCCCTTCAGAAAAAATCTATTCTTCCATTTGCTCTAATGCTTGTTAGAGAATAAAAACTCATTTGGATATCTCACTAACAGAGTAACAGCTTACCAACAACTTAAACTTTTAGGATAAATAGTTCGTTTCAGAGATGAGAGTCTGTTGTATGAAATGGGTTTAGTGTTTCCAATCTTTTCATCGTAATTAATTAAATTTCAATATAAGATATGGGTGGACTTTTGCTTGTCCACATTTTAAGTTTAATGGACTTATATAAGAAATGCATATTAAAGAATAAAAACTAATTCAGAGACCACACTTTCAATGCCCATTTGGTGTATCTTTCTGTGCGTTCTTTCAATTGTTTACAAGTTAAGAAGACTGATTTTCGGTCTATTTCTGTTTGGCATACTGAAGATCTAGCTGTCAAAAGACGGAACGCTGAAAAGACGCGAAAAACCCATTTTGGGAAGTTCCAAATGAATCTTCTCGCATCTTTTGTGTTTTATTCTCGCGTGAAAAGACGTGAAAATATGTACAGCAAGACGCACATCTCCCAAACGTGCTTCAGATTGTTCAGATCTTCATGTAAAAGCTCAATGCATTTCTTGACTGTCAGAACTACCAGAAGATCTTTTCAAAAAGACATACCAAACGGACCCTTAATCTTTTAGATTAAACGGTTAATTGAGAGCATTAAACTATGGTGAGACACTGAGCTTAATTATTATTAATTTAGAAGTTCCAGTCTTCCGGGGCTGCTAACAAATTACTGATTCATACATCCTAGTAATCAAAAGTTCATTGCATTTTTCACCTAGTTTAACTTGGTTAAAAATAAAATAAAGGAAATCTATTTTCTATGAACATAAAATAATTGTAAGAAATAAACAATATTTCTCAAAAAAATAAAAAAAGTTCCATTCCTTCTAATTTTCTTGTAACTCATTTTAAAATATAGATTCCTCCTTTTTGATTCATAGCTAGCAATTCATTCATATGTTTCTCAAGTATGAGATATTCAGGCTTGTTTTCTAAATTATGCAAATATGATTCGTTTTTCTATAATCATTTTTCAAGAAAATCATTTGTTTTCCTTCATTTTGTGTAACCAAAAATGGCCTAACATGCAAGTAAAATCTCCTACTTGATGGGGGTTCTTGCATCCTAATCAATCCTTCTCTTAGTGAGTACGTGTAGAGTGCCAGTCTTAGAAGTGCCATAAATTGCTTTGAGAAAACTCTGGCTGTCCACATTTGATAGCCTCTGCTGCCTACGGGCTCCCTCCCCTTGACATGTTAATCCAACAACAGTTGTTGAGAAATTAGGGGGGAAATCGGTTAAACAATGATTCTACCATTGTCACTGCGTGAGACCTCTTAGTTCACACAGATTGGGCATAACAGTATATATACTGGATGCAGTCTGTGTGGAATAATATATTATGCAGGGAGAGCCTTGTTGACAACCCAGGCTATCAAACATGAACAGCCAAAGTTTTCTTCATCATGAAGGGAGAGAGCTGTGTGGACAGCACTGTTGAATGCAGACGCAGACAGCCAAACTTCTTATAGTTGTTTTGGTCAATAGCATAATTGGAATTGCAATTCCTGTCCGTCTCTGGATTTTGTAATTTGAATAGACTTTGTATTGCTGTGAAATTTGGCTGGCTGCAGTTTTAGCAGAATCCAGTATGCCAAAGGACCCATTTTATTCTTAGGAATGTAGGCAGGAATGGAATAAAAGTTCAAAAGCTTCCTTTTTTTTTTAACTTTTCATGTATTACAAAGATATGAGAAATGTTGCACAAAGGTCCAACTTAACCTTAAATAAGATTATTTAAGCTTATACTTCTTTGCTCTTATTATGTTTGGTTTGAAGGAAAAGGTAGGGAAGGAAAGGAAAAGTAAGGGAACCTTTACAAACCTTGTATAGATTTTCCTACTTTTCCTTTCCTTTCCCTATCTTTTCCTTCGAACCAAAACATGGCCTTAATCCCTTCCTTTTGCTTGTGAATTTGTACATTAATTGATAGGTAACTCTCAGTATCGATAATCTTGGAAGTGAGCATCTATAACAATGCACTTTAAACACTCATGGATAAAGTGAAAAGATATGGATATGTTTGGATACGTCAGGAAACTCCCAAGGTCCCGCAAATGTATTTATAGCATTAAATCCAAGTTGAAATAATCATGAATGATGCATAAAAAGTACATACTTTAATAATTTATATGAAAAAAATCGTCACAATCAACAATATCAGGAGTTTGGGAGATGGATGATACAATGTACTGGTAAAACATTGGACAATGTATTATATAATTAATAGATCCACGAAAATATACAAAACCTATAAATCAAAAATTGCAAAGTACAAATAAAAAGGCAATTATTAAATTTTAATTACTTTTTAATTTTGTAAACTATCAAAAAAAAGGGAAAATTATAGCTAGAGTCGACTGTATATTTAAATTTACGTTGTAGGTTGGTTTAGAAACCAACAAAACTCTGATAGCCGATTGTACATTTCAAATTATAAAAATCTCTGCCATGTTATTAGAGGCTTATGTAGCTGTTGCCAACATAGGACTCTTAATCTATGTTGGACAAAAAAAAAAAAAATTATACCAAGACCAAAACGTCTATCTCTCGATCTCCCGCTCCCTTTGTCTCTCCCTCTCCCTCTCGATCTACCTCCCACTATCTCTCACTCTCATAGTCATCTCTCGACCTCCCGCTCCCTTTGTCTCTCCCACTCTTTCAGCTTTGATCTATAGCCAAATCAAAATCTCTCTCTCTCTCTCTCTCTCTCTAAGTAAATCTCTCATTCTACCTCAGCCTTTCTCCTGCTCCGTCCCTCATCTTTTTTATTTTCTATAGAAACTTATATGGAATTAATCAAACCATACAAGTTATAAGTTAGTCAAGGGACCAACAACTTGTATAATCAAGTTATAATTTTCTATCAAGTTGGGGTAAATTTCGTAGCCAAGAGTTTCTCGTGAATTTTTATCAAAATTGGGCTGAGAGAGTTAGAGCCATACCAAGTTGGTCTTATGTTCTTTAATATTGTTTAGTTAATACCGTATATGTAAGAAAAATAATAAAAAAAAGAACGAGAGAGGGAGCGAGAAAGAAACTAAGAGAGAACGATAGAGATTGAGGAAGAAGGAGAGATTGACCGAGAGAGAATGAGGGAGAGGGAGAGATCGATTAAGAGAGAGAATGAGGGAGAAGGAAAGATCGATTGAGAGAGAAAATGAGGGAGCTAAGATTAAACAAGAAACAAAATGAGAGAGATTGAAGGAGAACAATAGGTTGACAGAGGAAGAGAATGAGAAAGATTGACTAAGATAATGTAAAACCCTTTTCTCAAATCACACAGTTGTTGAGCAGGGAGAGACAACTGTGAGAGTGAGAGAGTGGGAGAGAAAGTGAAAACCCTTTATTATTTTCAAATAATAACATGGATTAAGAATCTCATATTGGCAATAACCACATAAGCCTCTAATGACATGGCAAGGGTTTCTTAACCAACCTGTAGTGTCATTTTAAATGTTGAGCCGACTCTTATTATAATTTTCCCAAAAAAATTAAGCCTAGAGTTTAATTTCTTATAAATTACTAATGTACATAAATTAAGTCAAATTTTCAAATAATATTTTCTATTTCTTTAAATAATCAATATACTGTTATTTATTATAAAAAAATTATTACCTAATAATTTATGACTAAAAAAGTTAAAATTTTATATATTTACTAATATTTAAGTAACATTTACAAAAATTTATAAGATTTAATCATTAATGAAGTAAAATAAAAATAGATCACTAATGGATAATATGGAAATATTAATTATTTTATTAAGTAATTAGCACTAATGTGTTATTTTTGTTAAAAATTATTAACATAATTAATCAAAAACACTAAATTACTAAATTATTTTTGTAAAAAGATTACTAAAATAAAGATTAGTTATTTTAAACTAAGTTTCCATTGTTTTACTTTTTGTTTGACAAATCTCGTACACTGTATAAGCAATTAAATCTCATACCACCTGGAAATATGAGAGCTAAACCAAGGAACTTCGTTTTTCCACTAGAACTGACAAATGGCAAGTAATCATAATTAATAGTTACTCAAATTGATGTCAGAATTTTCCGGCAAAATGGGCCAGAATACACTGTAAAATATGGGGGGAGAAAGGCAAGAGAATTGAAGAAAAAGTGATAATAACGAGTCCACATCTCTTAAGGAGCTGTACAGTGTGGCACATGTACAAATTATACACGAATGACATCTCCAAGGCAATCAAAGAAATGAGAGATGTCGATCTTCTCTTTACCAGAGTAAATAGCCTCTGCACTTCCACCTTTTGCTCCCTGGGCAGCCATTTCGATTAGCATGTAGAGCTTCTTGATTGGCATCTGAGAAAACGTATCATGATACAAACTTTCCCGGTGAGAAGTGAGAATCACAACCTTGTTTTTGGAAAATAAATCCATTTGTCCTACAAACTTTGATATTCTATACAAGAGTTCAAGAGTGTAACAAAGTAAATGTTGTCTCACAATACAAATCTATATTGTAGCCTCCTAGTTGAAATTACAGGCAATTATGACATATTTTCTCGTAGTGGATATTTTGGCCAATATCCCTGGGTCCTTTTTGTGTTGAAGAGTATTCCATGTAAAAAATAGATTGCCTCTTGCTTGCCCATTGTTTGCATTCAGTGTGTTTGACTAATTATTGATGCTTACGTTAGAATCTCAACAGACTGAGAAAGCTTTGTGTTTCCCAAACATTAACATCCTTGGGTTTCCAGAGAAGATTAGATCCTTAACCCTTTATTTGGCCACAATTATTGGAGAGTTCACCGACTTAAAGGCACAGTCATCACCTTTATGGATATGCTTCTCTTCTAATAATAAGTTAATAACACATTTCAACAGAAAACATCCTAAGAGGCAGGAAGATAGACCAAATTCCTCGATCTTACACTATGCTTAGACTTTGTAGCCTCATATTCAGTATTGACAAAAGAAAAGAATAGTCATAGAATGATGATATCCAGATTAGAATTAATGGACTTAAAACTTACATTATTAAGGGCCTCTGCAGCTGCATCTATATCATCTTCAGCAAATACCTTTAACTGTTCTAAAACCTGTGCAAAGAAACATGGGTCATGTAAACATAATCCAGAGCTTCATAGACAGAACACAATAAAAGACCTGATTGACATTGTGAGAGTGAAGGACTTAAATCTGACAATATTTCCAAGTTCAAACTCAGATATACAGGAATAAAAAATAGAAGTGTTACAAACAACCAAGGAGATTCCAGTAATTTTTGATAAGATAAGCTATCTTAAAACTATGAGATCCATTCCTATATTAATACCAAGGCAGAGGTACAAAACAATCTAAATTCAGACATGGACATTAAAATCTTCTCCCCAGGCATATCCATAGAGGTTTTAAGCCAGTAACTCCAAATATGAATGTTCACCACCCTTCTGTCAAAAGCAAAATTGGGTAATTTTTCCCCAGAATCAAGATGGACAGAACTAGCATGTGTACAAAATGTCAAGATCAAACCAGCTAACCTCCTGGATTTGAGCTAGGAGACTGTCAACTCTGAAAAGAAACACATTTCCTTCCTCTCTCTATATATAGTGTATGCATGAATTCATTCATTTGGTGCATATGAAAACAGGCACCACATATTTTAAAAAATTATAAAGTAGGAAGCACCTAGAAAAATATTGTTTATGGTGATATATGCATACAAACTGTATATAGATCTAAAAATGCACATGTAGACGTATCCAAAAGTTATGTCAAAATGTGTATACTTTGGATGGCTCTAAGAGACATGTATTGCCATTGGCTTCTTGCAAGTTACAATATTTCAAGCTAAGTGAAACAAGTGTCTCTAAGAGGCAGTAAAGTACTTAGTGTTTTTTGCTGCATGATCATTAACAGCTACTCTGCTCTGTGCTTGTTTGGCACTTGTTTGAATTCATCTCTCAGCATTGATGAAGGGTATCACCATATATAGAATGGAATGGGAAAGAAGACTCATTACCCAAATGGTAAAGACAAAGCTATGACAAGTGATGATGATGACTTACCTTTCTGGCATCCTCGGTTTTCAATTGTGGGACATGGTAAGTCACAGAGAAAGCATCACAGATACCAAGTGAATCCAGGAAATCTGCCTCACTAGTTGTTCCAATCACCAAGAGCTTTTTCCCCTGACAGCAAAACAAGAATGGATAAGAAAAAGAAAACAGGAAGTTGGTCCAAATAATGGATTCACCTTTATAGAACTAGTGGTGGATAAGGTCATAGATAGATAGGAAACACAGTTTTCAGAAAAACAAGAATGAAATTAACTACCAGAAGAAAGTTGGGCCAAATATTACAACATCAAGTTCGAAAAACATCAGTAATCAAAGGATCAGCTATTTCCAGACACAGTATGGGTATCCAAATACTGATCAGGTGGAGCTTTGTATTATTATGGCATACAAGATTAAATTAGAACTTGATATAGTTCTATGAGTAAGAGATAGTCATTTTCAGGTATTCATTCTGAGGTCAATAATGCTAAATAGATCTAGCTTTACAATCAAAATTACAAAAAAGAATTTTAAACAATTCTGGTTAAATACACAAAATAACGAGGCAAAGTGCTAGGCAAGCACAGAACTAAGAAGTTCTCAGAAAAGTGGTAATTGATTCAAGAACTCACCACAGATATAGTATGTATTTTTTTTCTTGGTAAACACTTAGCAGGATCTCAAAATAGTGAGAGAAGAGGGAGAAGAGAGAAAAACATCAGCTGGCGGTGCCAGCCTTTTGATATTTATATTAGGGCGACCACGCAAATAATAAAACAATGTAAAATTACATATGTACCCTTGCAGCACTAAACTAAAGTAAGACTAACTTATTTAACACTCCTCCTCAAATTGGAACATAGATATCAATCATGCCCAATTTGTCATATAAGTCATAGTGATGTAAGCCTTTTATAAATATATCTAAAAGTTACTCACAACTAACATATGGGGTGCACACTTCTCCATTAACAAATTTCTCTCTGATAAAGTGTTTGTCAATGTTAAGCCTAGTAGAGGAGAAGACTCATATGGAGAAAGTCAGGCCCAACAGGCCCATACGTCAGTCCAGAACACCACAAGGTTCACGCGGGTGGCACCACCCATCAAGTTCGTATACACCCGACGCCCACGTATAGAAAAGTAATCATAGCCTGTGAAATGCTTAGAATCGGTTACAGGTTGTTAGCTTGTTAGTTGGCCATGCACTATATAAGCCAATGAATGAATGCATGAACAATAATGAATGAAGTATTGAGATTTCTCCTCCTTTCTCTCTCTCTCTCTTTCTCTCTCTCTCTCTCTGCTCTCTCGCATCTTCTACCTCTCTTCCATTTCAGGAGGGCGAGCTCCCTCGAACCAGCTCATCGGTACGGGACTTATCAATTGGTATCAGAGCCTTGCTACGATGCCAACCACCAGGGCCTCGTCTGCAGAAGAAAGAATTGACTGCACAGAAGGTGAAGTTCGACAGACCACCAATGAACTGAGAGAAATCAAGGAGACCCTCTCAGCACTGGTAGGTCAATTCGAACGAATGTCATAATCTCCTAGATCCATGGAGGTTGAAGGATCTAGCAGCAGTGGAGTTAAGCGAGGAGGAGCATTCCCAGTCAAGGCTGCCAAGATCAATTTTCCTTTGTACTCAGGTGATGATCCCATTCCTTGGATTTACCGGGCTGAACGCTACTTTGAATTCCACAAGACCCTAGTAGATCAGAGGGTCTTCATTGTTGCACCATACACATGGATGGCGAAGCTATCATGTGGTACCAATGGTACCGTAAAACTCACCCTCAGACCACCTGGTTAGACCTTATGAAGCCTTACACGTGAGGTTCGGTCCTTCTGGTTATGAAAATTTCAACGAGTCACTCTCTCGGGTGAAATAGATGGGGATAATTAGAGAGTATCAGAATGAATTCGAATGGTTGGCTACCTGGGTTCACGACTGACCGGAGGCCGCTCTAGTGAGATGCTTTATAAGGGGTTTAAGGGAGGACATTCGAATAGAGGTGAACACCATGTAGCCGACCACCTTGATGGCAGCAGTGGGATTGGCCAAACTTCAAGAGGAGAGGGTGGACCAGCTTAAGAAATTAGGGAAGCCTTATGGGCCTCAGGCGGGCCTGACTCAGAAAGGACCCTATCCCAAGGTGGATTCGAAACCCAGGCCTCTACTTCCAACCCCTATTACTCCCAAACCGGTTCCCTTACCAACTCCTCCTAACAGAAGGACCGGAGCTATGGCCCTCCCTTACTAGAAACTATCTTGGTCGGAAATGTAGGCTCGTAGGGAGAAGGGCCTTTGCTATAATTGCAACGAAAAATTCGTCTTAGGCCACAAATGCAAGGCCCAACACGTAGGGGGCCTTCTGTGTAAACCGAATCGGTAATACCAGTTTTTGGAAAACTGGTAACTGGAACCGAACCAAAACCAATTGATTAACCGGTTGACCAGTTCGATTCATCGATTTTTTAGTTTTTTGACTTTATAATATTTATTATAAATATATATAAATATATAATAGAAAATTATAAATATATATAAAATATTATATTTTAAATAATAACTAATATATAATATATTATAAATATATATATAATGCATATTTATTAATTTATAATATATAAAATATATATAATATACATAAATATATAGAAAATATATAAAAAATATATAGAAAAACATGTATACGGGTCGGTTTGGTTGACCGCTGGTTTTTTAAATTGGTTAACCAAAACCGAACCGGTACCTTTGGTTTTTTAAAAACACGTAGGGGGCCCAAGTTTTTTGGCTCGGTTTCGGTCGGTTAGGTTTTTCATTTGTTTTGCTCACCCCTACCAGCACGTCTATCTTCTATAAGTAGAAGGAGAGGAAGATTTTGAAACCCAAACTATCTTGATTGACAGTGGAAGCCCTCTAAATTTTATTACTCCCCGACTAGCCAAACAACTTGGGTTAATTGTAGAACCCATCTCCTCGTTTGCAGTTAACATGGCCAATGGCCACCAAATCTCTTTTGATGGAAGGTGCAAATCAATAGAATTGAAGATTCAGGGGTACCAATTTAAGGTGGACCTACGTTCATTAGAATTCACCGGGGCAGATGTTTTCTTGGGCATACAATGGCTACAATTGTTAGGCCCTGTAGTGTGTAACTGGGCTGACTTGACTATGCAGTTTAATTATGAGGGCAGTTCTTACACGTTAAAAGGGATTAAGGCCCAGCCCATAACCGCAGACAGTTTGGAGGTGGTTCTTAAGTCTCGTCAGCAAGACTCTACTCCATTGCTAATGAGCATGGGTTCAATGCCCATTGGGCCCACTCCACTTACAAAAACTGTTACAAAAAACCCAAGAAAACAGATTCGAATGGCAATAAAAAATGAACGTAAAACAGAGATAAAAAGAAACAAGCACAGAGAACACAATGATTTATGTGGTTCGGCTTATAGCCTACGTCCATGGGTGAAGGAGGAATATAAATCCATTATGAAGTAGGTAATGGAGAAAAAATACAGAGTTGTGCTCTCACAAAAAAACCTAAGCCCCAAATACACCCAAAGAATTCATGAAGCGGGTTGCCATAAAGAATTCAAGGCACAAACATAACAAATCTCCACCTTAGCTTGATATCTCTCAAGCATCACAGAATAGTAATCTCCCTCCACCTTCTCCAACAAAAGCCCCAAAGGACAAATTCAAATGTTGCAAACACCAATCAAGTCCAAGCAATGCTTGAACTTAGCCACAAGAAGAGGTTTTATTAACAATGATATCTCCTTGTTCTACAACATCACGAACAAAATGATACCTCACATCAATGTGTTTCGTCCTCTCATGGTACATTTGATCCTTAGTTAGATGAATAGCACTCTGACTATCACAATAAACAACAGTCACCTTTGGACCCAAACTGAGTTCACTAAACAAGTAACTTTCCAACTAACAACACAACCACTAATAGATAATACATAACCTCTGAGTGATCTTCTCCTGTTAAGATCACCTGCATAATCTGAATCAACATAACCCATCAAACTACCACTACTCCCAAACTTCAAACAAGTATTTGATGTTCTTTTCAAGTATTTGAGAATCCACTTCACTGCCTGCCAATGTGTCTTGTTAGGACATGACAAATATCTGCTCACCATACTACCTACATGTGAAATGTCAGGTCATGTGCAAACCATGGCATACATAATACTCCCAATTGCACTGGAGTATGGGACATGTGACATATATTTTTCTTTTTCATCTGTCTATGGTAATAAATTTGTTGAAAGTCTGAAGTGGGCTGCAATAGGAGTACTTAATGGTTTATAATCTTTCATGCCAAAGCGTTCTAAGACCTTCTCAACATACTTCTATTGTGTCAAATACTTCCCTGCTTTTCGGTCCCTCTGAATCTCCATGCCAAGGATTTTCTTTGTTGCACTTAGATCTTTCATTTCAAACTCACCACTCAACTATGTTTATAATCTATTGATCTTAGATATTTCTCTAGCTGCAATAAGCATATCATCAACATAAAGCAACAAGTAAACAAAAGAATCATCTACAAGTTTCTTGAAATAAACACAACTATCATATTTGCATCTAGAATACCCAAGAGCCACCATAAAAGAGTCAAATCTTCTATACCATTGTCTAGGAGACTGTTTTAAGCCATATAGAGATTTCTTTAACAAGCAAACATGGTCTTCCATCCCTTCAACAACAAAACCCTTAGGTTGATGCATATAAATCTATTCATCAAGTTGTCTATGCAAAAAAAAAAATAGTTTTAACATCTAACTGTTCTAATTCCAAATTATGCATGACAACCAAAGCAAGAAAAACACGAATGGAGCTATGTCTAACAAACAGTGAGAAAACATCATTAAAATCAACACCTTATACTTGACTGTAGCCTTTTGCAACCAATCGTGCCTTATATCTAGCACCCTCTACACCTGGAGTACCTTCTTTCCTTTTGCAAACCCATTTCCATCCAACAATCTTCTTTCCTTTAGATGGTCTTACCAACTCCCAAGTTTGGTTCTTATGCAAGGATTCAATCTTTTCATGCATAGCTGTCAACCACTTAGCAAAAAAAATTAACAGATGAGATAGCTTCTGCATA